TTGTGTTGGAGATGGGAAATTCAAACTCCTTGAGTTCCTTCATCCTTGTGCTTTCTTCCACCAGTTCTCAGGCCTGGAAGCTGCCTGGGATGTGCAGCTGGGTGTTGCTTTTGACCATGGGGTCAAAGAGCCTAGTTCAGCAGCAGCAGGATTGCTAAGGCTCCTTTGGTTTGATATTTTCCAAGGTAACTGTTGGGGAAGACACTCTTATGGACTGACATTCCATACCATTTAGCACAGTTTGTTGAAGAGTAATATGTGGTATATGTTGGGCATTATTTGCTGAGGGAGCAAACTTGGCATTGGCAGTAGGTAAGCGTTTTGCTTATTTGACTGAAACATTTGACTGAAATTGTCCACAGCTGTGAACTTCTGCCAGAATTAGATTTTTTTTTTAGCAGCTGGCTCTGGAGGTGGAACAGCCAGGAGCATGGAGGAGCTGTGCAAGGTTTGTGGGTTTCCACCCTAACAAACAGCTTGGTGCTCCTGGATTTCCCAGCTGCAGTGCTGAGCATCAGCCCCACGGCCGCGCGTGGCACCATCGGCCTGCCCAGGCTGCCAGTGTTGAGACAGGGATAGGTGGCTTCCCAAGGAGCAGGAGGACCGGCGGGACAGTGAGCCTCTGCCCAGAAGGGAGAACTGGCAGGTCTGCAGCGTTCCTACCTCAGTTCACCTCCCACTTCTCTTCTCATTGGGTTTTACAAACAAAAGGAGTCTTTTTGCTGACCGACCTTGTGCCCAGCGCTGTGCAATTACTGACTTGCTCTGTGTGCTTTATGGTGCTTTTGAGGTTTGTTAGCTTAACGAGTAACTTCCAAAATATTTGGGGACAAGAGAAGTGTGGTTTTACTGGAATGTGAACTGACTGGAAGCACTAGTAGTTGTTGCTACAGGAACAAAACCAGCTAACTAGTACACAGAGCTCTTCAAAGGTCATGGGGATCTCCAAGAGGCAAAATTGCAGTGATAGCATTTAAAATCATTAGTTTATAGTTGATTAATCATTATAATACATGAAAGGAGCTGTCTGCTTATCTTCTGGTTATCTGGGGAAGCACAGGTTGTGCAAGTAATATGAAAAATTGCATTGCAAGTGGCAAGCTTTTCTCCCTTGGACATGTTTGTGCCACTTTTGAAAAATGGATGTACTCAGTATTCCATTATTTTACCTGATTGTCTAGAAACTGTTTAAATCTTATGGGCTGGATCCCCAGCTGTTCTTAGGCCAAGCAGTGGCTAGGTTTGGTGGACCTGAGTGGCTCACATTTAATATTGGATGATTCCCTGCATTAGGACATGCTTGAAATGACCCCACTCAGGCAGGAGAATTGCTGCATGGTTACTAAATGAGAGCACTGGGGTTCTCCAAGAGAAGCTCTTACTGTTTTCTCTATACTTAGCTCCATCTACAGCAGACCCTGCTTTTCTTGAAGGGTACATCTGACCCTCGTGCAACTTTTGTGCCCTGTCCATCACTTAGAGCAGAAGAGGGAAAGTGTATCTGAGGCTAAGGAAAAAGCAATGGCAAACCTGGGGTGAGGGGAACAGACTGAACAGGACAAGAGGTGATGTCCTGCCCCTGTGCCATCAGGGAGGAGGCTGAAAATCTGAAGGTAGGGGTTAGTTCTTAAGGCAGCAGAAAGTACCTTTGCCAGCTTGCAAACCCCGCTGTGGCTGCCTGGAGGTTTCTGGGTGTGGAAGTGCAAGTCCTGGCGTGTATGTCGAAGGGACAGGGAAGCTGTCACAGGAAGATGGATTGGAGCAGACATGCACAGGTGTGGGCGTGTGTCACTCAGCCTTCTGAGACGCACCAAGACCTGGCTTCCTCACATATCAAGATACACCTATTTTCATTCTACTTCCACCTTATTTTTTTTTTCTTTAACTTCCAAGAGTTCTCATAGGGTAAAAGAGCTTCTATACTGTCCCCTCTTGGGAGCTCATAATTAATGCAGCCATCAAGTCAGAATTTAGTGCACAAGTAATGAAATTCATAACCTGAGTTTTCTACGGCAGCATTAACTGTGACACAGATTCATCACTGGCGTATCATCATTAAAAGGCAGTGGAATTGCATTGGGGATTGATGTGATCATATGCATGTAAAGATCAAGATACCAAAAGGTGTGATTTATGTAATTTAAGCATAAGCTCTAATCTAGAACCCTTCCCACATGCAGTGTGACAGTTCCTGTTCCCAGAGCAGTGATTTTTTTTTTTTAATTTACTGCGTAAATGTGTGTGTGTGTTTATATGTTTTTATTTAACTCTTTTAAACAGTGTTGTCTTAAGGTCTTTTTTTTTTTTCCTTTTGTGTGTTGAATTATAGCTGTAGTTAAATCTGTCCAATAGCTCAGTGTTATTGAAATGCTTTATATTTTTGGAGCTTGGGTATTACACGTCAGCACTTTAATCCATTATCTTACAGGTAATATAGAAACACTGACATGTCTGATGCAGCCATAATGGATAAAGCAAGAAGATATATATTATTCTGCTTTTATCATTATTACAAAAGCTATCAGAATCATGTAAGAAAGTTAATGAGGAACAAAAAGCGTTCTTAGTTTTCAGGCTGTGTTACTTCTCCCCTTTCTACCCTCTGATTTGCACCAAAAAAGAAAGAAGACAGAGCTGGGCCAATCTGGTGATGAGAACTGATCAGCAGCTGTCCATCTGGTGGCCTTTGGAGGGAAAGGGACATCAGGTACAGCTGAGGGAGCAGTGCTGGGGTAGCAAAGGAGCATGGCAGGGTTCCTGCCACAGTTACCACCTGGTCTTTGGGAGCCCTTGGCACCTGCTTCAAAGCCTGGCCTGAATAATGTGTTCATCTTCCATGAGGAGTTCAAAGCTGTTGAGGGAAGTAGTTGTTGAGGCCGCCTGCTTGGCAAATTTGTCAATCGGCTTGTAGAGCTGTAAGTAAGTGGGGCTTTGCGACAAAGGTGTGTTGCTCTTTGCGGTTGTGTAGGAGATTACACAATTACCTGAGGAACTCTTTTTATCTCCCAAGTACAGCAGTGATTAGGATTTGTTTCTGAAGTGCAGGGGCAGTTAGCAGCACTGGAGACGTACCTCTGGGTCCTGGATGTTTTGTCAGGTCAAAACATGGTGCTTGAGCTCTGCCCTGGGGTCCAGCAAACAAATCAGAGCATTTGCTTGAAGGGAAAACTTGTAAAAGGAGGTGGGAAGGAACTAGTCCATCTCCCTAAACCTGACTACACTGCTAGCATTGTACCTTTGCAAGGAATATCCTCTTTGGTCCACTCTTACTGGTCTCCTTTGGGTCTGTGTTCTCCAAACACCAAAATTGATGGTGTTCAAGGCTAGGCTTTAATCCAGTGGGGTGCTCAGCATCCCAGCCCTGATCCAGCCAAGAAGATGACTGACTTCCATGTGGGTCTGTCACACAGTTAAGTCAAGTTCATGCTTAAAATGTGAATGATTTGTGTTAGAATTCTCTCAGTTGAAAAATCAGACCTTCAGTGAAAAAAACAGAGCCATACATTGCATAGACTATGTGCCTAATGGCCTTGTGAAGGAGAAACAATGTTCCCCACATCTCTACTCCTTGTTTTCTATTACACACAATATGTTATTTCTGTAGATGCCTCTGACTGATGCTTTCCCAGCCCACTATTTTTTCTGCTCATTATGATTATTTGTGGTTCACTGGCATGTAGGGAGCAACCACAGAAGATGTGGAGATGGGCCTGGGGAACCCACAGGGAAAAAGAGCTGGCATGGAGGTGGCTTTATGCTTCCCTCCCTATGGCACAGATAGATGCACTTTCTGGGGCAGGACAGTACAAATAAGAATCAGCAGATCTTTGGCCATCCAAAATCCCTGGCCATGCTCACGTGTGCCAAACCCACCAGCTGCACCCTCTGAGTTTAGGGCCTTGTTTTAAATATCGTGAGGTTTTGAATACTAACAGTGTTAAGATTGGTTTTATTTATCCAGCAAGACTTAGTCTTCAGGGTGTTTAATATTGACATGGAGTCTTTGGGGAGAGGGGTTGATTTTGCTTGGCTTTGTTGTAAAACCTTATGCATCTGGTTACACTTAAGACGTTAGCTTTAGCTAACAGCAAGACTCTTGATAAAATTCACAATTACTGGCAGTACTGTGGACATGAACTTATCTCCTGGGCACGTTTTGTAAAATTAAGCTATTTTCATTAAAAGAACAAAGAGCAGCATGGTGATGGAGCAGCTGTCATATTTTATTACAAAACACAAATATGTGGGAAATCAATTACAGCATGAGTGCGCGCAATGCATATTTCCAGTAATCCCCCACGGCCGGGGGAAGGTAGAAGGCTGATCTGAGTGCAGAAGCAGATGGCAAGCAACTTTAGATAGCTTCACTGCCATTTTTTCTCTTTCAAGTGTTTGTGCTTCTCCTTTGATCTTCAGAGCTTGAGTTTAACGTGTTTCATCTTCTTTTGTTTACTGTTTTCACATTTAACTTTCCTTTTAAATAACTTCTGTTTCTTGGAGTTTGTATTAGTATGGGGCTTTGTTATCTTCCATGCTGAGGTACTTACTTAAGAAGAAAGACTGTTGCTGTCTTTTTTTAGTGTTGTTCACATCCAATAAAACAGTGACTGCATCACTGCATAGGACTTCACCATCCACCCTGCACAACTGTAGTTCTACAATGAAAAAATTCCACCTCACAAAGTTACTAAGACACTGTGCATATGAAGTTGCAGTGGATTATCCTGGAAGACAGATACTATGGGATTGTGATGGCACACCCACAACAAACCCCTATGGAAGTTTGGTTTCATCACTGCTCACTACATTTAGTTCTTAAATTATTTTTAAATGAGTGAGCTGGAATTAGTGTTCTCTGTGCATGTAACATTTTTACATTCACTTAAAATAATGTGTGTTTAAAATAACAGCATTTTACAGTGATTTGAAATAGAGCAGTAAAGGCAACATAGGTTGATCCGAATAACCCCATGTGATCTGTATCTCTGCTTTTGTTACAGCTGTCAGAAATGATAGGAACAAAAAGAAGAAGGAACCTTCAAAGCAGGAGTCCACAGAAAACTATGAAATGACAGCAGAGTTAGATGATCTCACTGAGAAGATTCGAAAAGCTCACCAGGAAACCTTCCCCTCACTCTGCCAGCTGGGAAAATACACTACGGTGAGTATGGTTCGAGGCACAGAGCTTTCTGGATATGCCTAGATGGATGTGAGTTTTGGAGGGTCTGGACATTTTAAATAGATGGAGCAGTAGATTCAGTCTTTGCACCTCCTTAGCCAGGAAAAATCAGAGGTGTGTGTGCAAACGCTGCCTGCTGGGGAGAGAAATTGCACTTAGATGTGAGCGCTACTTAGTGGTATCACAGGAGACTCCTGGAGGATTAATGCAGCCAAACGACCAGCTCAGAGACCATGAGTCAGTTACATTCCATCGCTCATTAGAAATTTGTTGGCTTCCAAAGATGTGATCTCTGCTCGTGCATCAGCGCATTACAACTTTGCAGGTGTAGGGAGTTCTTAAATGCTGCTGGATTACTGGTGATAGTCCCAAAGCTACCAAGGTCAAGGAAAATATGAAATGTTTAAGTAAAACAGTTTCCAAAATGCTCATTTGCAGTTTATTCCTAGAATCATAGAATATCCTGAGTTGGAAGGGACCCACAAGGATCATTGAGTTCAACTCCTGGCTCTGCACATGACAACCCCAAAAATTACACATCCTTTCCCAGTCTACCAAAATATCCCATAAGAGCAGAAACTTCTGCTGCTTTTAGAAATGAAAAATCAGCCCCCCCATCAAGAAGCTCAGTACTATGGGCATTTCTCCAGAGATGAGTCAGGGAAATAATTTTTCTCCTATACATATATATATGTTGCTAAATACAGGGAAAGTCAGTGATATTTAGTTGATTAAAGAAAATTCAATGTCAGATTTGCAAATCCAGTAATAAAAGAGATGATAAAAAATAACTGTTAGATAATGTTTAGAGCCTTGTCAGTAGAGAAATGACGGCTGGGTCTGGGCTTGCTGTTGGTTGCAGCAGCACTGGCTGTTTCAGAGGGATGCGCTAAACAGCCTGAGGTATAGCCAAGCATGTGCTCTCATTGCTGAGAACAGGAGTTCAGGAGTGACATGGCTGGGGCAAGGAGACAGCTGCCTCCATGGTTCTTGCCCTCCAGCCCCATCTGAAGATCTGGGACCAGTCCCCAGGAGCCAGGTGAAATACTTCTATCACTGGATTGCTCTCTGTCTTGAGTAAATTTTCTGCTGTTGAAACAAACATTAAATTTGTCACAGTGATGTAGGCAAATCCCTGTGTGCCATCAATATTCACTGTTTTAGTGATCAGGTGCTCTTTTGTGGCATATTAATCTATTTACAAAACAAAGTGCTCAAAACTGAGGTCTGAGTGTAAGACTTGGTATTTAAGTGCAAGAAGAGCACGCACATATGGTGTGTTTTTAGAAGAAGTCACATTTTTCATGTTGCTGAAAGTATTTTCAGAAACACTTTTCACCTTTAATTCTGAGCCCCATGTAAGCTGGTTAATACTGGGGAAGGAGCCTGCCCTCTCCATGCTCCTCTGAACGTTCCCAGCAGGAACACTTTAGTACCTATTTCCACATTACCTCGGAGTTAGCAGAGTGCACTGCACCTGGTGGGATGGTACTGCACTGCATCCTGGTAATTGCCAAAGATCCTCGAGGGCTGAAAGATAAACCTTGGCACCTCTGCACTTGCATTAGGTATTGGATGCTGAAGTGTCATTAATCTTTTAGCTCTTGAAATGATACAAGTGGATGAAATTGGAGAGGGTCTTGTTGCATAGCACACTCACTGCTGATGCCTTCGTCCTTAGGTTCCGTCTGAACCCCATGGCGAGTTTATGTCCCTGTTGGAATTTCAGAGCCCTTATTGAGAGCACCTGGATCTCAGTAAGGAGCAGATGAATCTGGTCTGTCTATGGAACATGAGTAGCCATGATTTGGCTACTACAGCACACTCTTTCTGAGGCTGGATATTGGTTGTTTATGAACAAGCCTTAAGCCTGATGGGATGGCCCGGGGCAGGAAATTTCTTGTTTTTAACATTGTTCTGTTGGACGTCTAAAGCAGTGCGCTGCTGCACAGGGCTCAGCTCCCACCTGCTTTGTCATGGTACCAGTTGCAATAACAAAAATATACTGAAAGAGTTCCTTTTGGCTTACCTTGAACCTTTGAGAGCAATGTAGCTTCCTTCAAGTGCTGCATCAGAACTAATAGCAGCAGTGCTAAATACTGCATTCTCATAGTCTGTGTGACAAATGCAGAGTGTTTAAATCTCTCATAGGTAAGGTCTGGCAGCCACTCCAGCATTTTATGTAGGACTTCAGTGTTAAGATCTCATGTGAGAAAGACAGAGCAGTGCTGGGGCTGGAGTACAGGTCATCTAACCCTCAAGATGCCTGTCAGCCCAGGGGCAGGGGAGAATCCTTTCTGCAGCACTGAAGATACAGGAGGATTTGGGATGCGGAAGTTGTGTGTGTGCTGGTCACAGTAGCGCAGCTCTGGTGCCTGCACACTGTCACCAGCTGCTGATCAAATGGCAGGGCTCCGACAACAATCTGAGACACTTGAAGTAGAAACCAGAAATCAAAAAACAAAGGAGCACACAGCCCTTTTTCTAAGTGCTGTGTCTGAGGGGAGCTAGAAGCCTATGCCACTCTGCTTTTCTTGATACTAACAATCTAGTACAGGTAGAAGATTGCCCCCAGTCCTGCTTTTATGCCTGGTTCTGCATGCTGTCAGTCATGAAACATGGCGTGCTCACACTACAGAGCACACAGATTGCTTTTATAACCTTAGAGTTTTTTATTTCATTCTCTAAATGAGAGGTGAGAAGTGAGTGGTTTTAACCAATGTGGATTCCCTTGAATTTTGTGAGCCTTGCACTTGTGTATTGACTAGGGTGGTGGAAGGAAGAAACTGTTCTGCAAGAGCAGCCCCTGAGTGCCTTTGGTTACAGACTGTTTTAAAAGAATATTTCATTTGTTGCTAAAAAGAGCAAAGAATTTTAAGGGTGCAATGTAAAAAAGACCTTACAGAGATATAGTAAAAAAAAAACTAATTGGTTTAGGCATTTGACTTGTGTATCTGGCTCCTCTCACTCTTGAGCACTGCAGCCTGCATTTCCCAGAGGGAAAGGTTACATGGTGATTCCCCCACCACCACCGTGTATTTTCACCTGTTAAAAACTGGTTTGGAGAAACATTTTCAATTACCTTTTTTTATATCCATCTGCTCTGTAAAAAGTGGCCCCATACTTTGCATAGTTAATAGAAGTCTGCTTAAAATAATGGGAGAATAGCACTTGTATTAAATTCCCTGGGTCATTTCACTTAACAGTTGCATTTGGTGGGCAGTGACAAGTACAGTTCTATCAATGATGAGAATCAGCATGCTGTTTAAATGTAATGGATTCCAAAAGTCCATCATAAACAAATCTGTTTTATTACTGTCATTCAGGTAAGAGAGAGTGCCTGAGTAATTTCTCTGGAGATGTCATACTTTATAGTATAATTGAGTGTAACTATACTGCTTGTCCCTTGAGAGTGGTATTATTTGTAAGTCTACAGCTGTGTTACATCCAGCCTTGTGATAAAGGGAGGATAAAACAGAAAACAATTTGGCTTTGCAGACTCTTGCTGCAGATTCTCCTGGGTTGCTCTTGGCTAGCTGGAAGTGAAAAGGTTCCATATCTTGGTGGCATTTTGTTCTTTGTATGTGCTGGGCTTAGAAGTTACACAGCTACTGCTCTGTACCATTGCAGAGGAATATATATGTATGTGTGTGTGTATATATATATACATATATATATATATATATAAGATGTGTGTATCTCCTGATATTGGGACTGAGTAGGGACATATGCCATGGTCCTCAGTGACCTCACCAGAGCTGGAGTGTGTTGCTGCTTTTACTAAAGAGGCATCACGAGTGTTCCTGATTAGGGCAGAGTGCCCCTGTGAGCCTTGTTTCCTTTGTAAAGTGGATTTTAAAGACAGTAGGGATTCTGCTGCTGTGTATGTTTCTACGAGTACCTCATCCCGTATTGTTAATGTGGAGACAGAGCAGCCTGCAATGAAAAAACAAAAATGATGGAAAAAATGGGATCAATTTATGTGGCAAAAATGGCTATTTAATTGGATTTCATAGCAAGGTTGGGCTTTTCCACTGATAAAGATGCCACTAGGGTGTATTACAGTATTGTTCCACCATATGTGCACTGGTGCATAGGCCTGAAAAACATGTGAGACTGCTTCTGGAAAAGACACCCAAAAACCCACTTCATTAAAATATTCAGGAAAAGTCAGAGCGTCTGCATCTTTTTCACAGCATGGATAGAGGAGACCTGCAGGCAAATTTAATCAGATTTTTTGTTTCTATTGTGCATTGTTTTAACCCTATGTTTTATTGTTCAACCTATACATTGATATTGAGTCAGTTTTGTTTTTTAAATAATGAGAAATGCTGCTAAAAATCCAGCTCTTTTTCCTGTGACACTTGTGTTGACATTCATTAACAGACAGAACTGTTAAAGAGTTAAAACTCTTTCCATTTGTAGCATCTCAAAGATAATGTGTAAAACCACATTAGCTCCAATGCTGAGGGATCTGGCACCTGGCATAATGAAACACCTGGTTATTTTGTATTTTATTAACTGCCCCTTCTCTTCAGTTTGCATAATAGAGAGTTAGATTTACATTTGTTACGACAGCCGTGCATTACTCCTAATAGAAGACACGTCAAACTTCCCGTTGCTGGCACTGCAGCATGATAAAGTAACCTCATATGATACTGATGAAGATTTCGTTCACACTTGCTGGTTTCACGCAACGTCTTTTTTTCCAGATGGATACCCTATTGTAAAATGATTTCCTGCTTTAGGCTCTGCTTTGTGTAGCTCTCTGCTATGCCATCTTCCTATGAACTGGATAAACTGCCTATTAAATTTAATTACAGCCTGAATGACTGCACATCTTGATCTTATTTTTCCTCCAATGTACTGTATTTCACCAAGGTCCTTGAGGATGAAATAAAATAAATCTGAAGGATGCATACTCCAGTAGCTGAAAGAAATGTTTCAAAGGGCATTACAATGACTGTTAACTCATTAGTTTTGGACCATTTTGAAAGCAATTCTTTAGGTCTAGCATTATAAAGACATTTTCTTCTATCTTTCTTCTGTCATTTAAAAAAAAAACCCAAAACAAAATAGAGGAAGTTCCCAGAATAAAAATTCAAATAGAATGGTAAAATGAATTAATTATCCCCTGAAGAGAGGGGTAGCAGGAAAGAGCATGCATGCTCCTTCAGACTGCTCAGCACAGTTAGTGTTTATTTTTTGCAGTTAGGGCTAATGTAAATATTCCTGGCTCAAATCTCCATACTGTTCCAAGTGAGGGTGAATGTCAGGCTGATGGCACTCTGGGGACCCATCAGGACTTTCCCCTTCCTGACTGACGGTGGTGGTGGTGGTGTCTTGTGAAGGCAGCACCGGGATGGGCTCCAGAGCATCCCAGCCAAGCTGAGCTCACTCCACCTTCCCTCACCAAGCTCTTCCAGCCCTGTGTCCTTCCTGTGAACCAAAGAAAGCTGACAAGATAATGGCTTCACTGGTTTTCTAGAGGTGGATGTCCTCACCACCAGCAGTGGTGGTGGCAGGCTCACTGGAAATGTTTCCTCCAAGGAAGTGTGATCTGTGTAATGTGAATGCTTTTTGATGGCTATTTAATCTGCCATGTCTGTTAGAATTTTAGGTTGAGACTGTTCATTTAACTTTAATTTTAAAGTTAATTTAACATTTTAACTTCAACCAGCTGAGACTGAGGCAGCTGATCACATGGGCTTCCTCTGCAGCTGGGGAGAAAGCCACTGCCTGAGCATATTTTTATAGGTAAAATTCCTGCTGCAGTGAAGAGATCACCCAGATGCTGGAGGCAGCTGCAAGGCACACTAAACTTGGTGGCTTATGAAATAGGGGATTGGGGGACACCATCACACTGGCTGCATCCTAAATAGCATTGGATCAAATGCTGGCAATGCACTGCATGTGAGGGCAGAAGGAGAGATTATTTGGGCATTTCAGAGCTCTTTCATTACCTGTTTCTTGTCACTGTGTAAATCCTGGGTGGATTGGAGTGGGCTCATCAGGTCTTCTCATGGCACCCAGTTTTGATGGGCTGGCATCAAATGGGTGACAACAGATTTTGAATCAGATGGTTCTTGGCTGACATGTTCGGCTTTTTCAAGGGTTAAGTGATTTAATTTGTTCCAAATATATGAAAATGTGAGTTTGATCACAAACTTAATACAAGTTTTCTATGCACTCTAGCAAATGATGGACACTTTGTTTGAGATAGGTGAATGTACTGAAAACAGTCCCTGAAAGATGCCACTGGAATGTCCTTGTTACACTTCCAACAGTGGGGGTGTATGTTGGATGCACCATCAAATCAGCACGTTGCATTCATCAAGGCACATGGGATTTTCCTTAACATCATGTAAATAAATGCTCTGTAAGTCATGGGAGACTGTAGCTTCAGAAAGCTGTGGCAGAGCCACAGAGCAGAGAAATTAAGCAGAACTAATTTTCTAAGACCTTAAGTATGTGCAACTATGTTCCAAATATTGTGCTGCTTTTTCCAGAGGAGGACCCAATATTCTTGTTCCACTGTTCATTTATATTTTCTGGGGTACAACTGTAAATTGTCTTTCTCAATGCACTTATTATATAATGGCAAGGAAGAATAATGAGGGTGGCATTTGGAAATGTTTAAGTTCATTTGTATTCCTTGTACAGATGGCCTCTGCAATCATAAGTAACAGAGAAGTATCCAAGGAATTTTCAGGCGATTAATCAAAGTTTAAAACCAGCATCATCCCAACAGCAAGCTGCAGAAAATGCCTGGAATGTTAATAGCAAGTACTTCTGGAAGGAAAACGTGGTTGTTGTTTCCTTCCCTTGAAAACCATTTACTGAAAGGGGCGTTGTTGATTTATGGTGCCTTCTGTCTGTCTTTCCAGAACTCCAGCGCAGATCATCGGGTTCGACTGGACCTTGGGCTTTGGGACAAATTCAGTGAACTTGCAACAAAGTGCATTATTAAAATAGTGGAATTTGCAAAGCGATTGCCAGGCTTTACAAGTTTGACCATTGCAGACCAAATAACTCTACTCAAAGCAGCCTGCCTGGATATACTGGTATGTATTTTTAACATCATTGTTCTCCTACTAATGCATTTTCTATTCTTCTTATTATTGTAATTGACAGGAAGAGGGGGGTGAAACATGGCCCTGACCTTATTGTTGTAAAATTGAACTTACTGGGTAGTCTGGTGCGGTAGAAGATGACTCCAGCACACCTACAGAGGTGTGATTTGGGGGATGAGCATACTTCACAAAATAAGTCCTTGCGCTTTGTGGGTCTCAGTAGAAAGGGCACGTTTTGGTATTATGGCATGTGCAACTTCGAAAAATTTTCTTTACTGTTAATACTGAAGAGAGACCTGTTTCTTCTTCCTTCATCCTTCCTCCTCCTTCTGGATAATCCTATGCATAAAGGATACCTAGAAAGACAGCTCACTATATAATGGTTTAGGAAAGTGCTGTACCTGTGGTCATGAGGGAATTTAAGGAACAAGACACAAGTCTTCAAAATTAGTGTTTTTCAGGTTTTAGAGGGGAAGCTGGTGTGCCTGGAGCCTGTCAGGTGCAAGCCTCTGGCACTCATATCCCCCAGCTTTCTCCAGTGCCGCAGGTATCTGTGGAAGTGGCCAATGTAATGGACTCAGTACAGATTTTAGCTAAATGTAATTTAATTTTAAATAGGCAAACATACAACCTGCAGGAGGGAACTGTGCAGGTGGGCTGGGAGTTTTTCTCCAGACCTTGCCTTGCCACTATGTCAAGGCAAGCTGTCTTCCCTCCCTTTGTCTCCGGTTGTTTCTGTCATGCTGACCTTCAGAGGAGCCCTCTGGGATCTCAGCATTTCTTTATTGAGCCCTTGGAGGTCTTCAGGCTTTTTGTGGCAAATGTGCTTTGTATTATTTGTTGTAGCAATAACTTGCAGTAAAACAGTATGTTCAATGTAAACATACTTTAAATGTTACATTCTGAGCACAAACCTTCAGGTCCTCATGGAGGCAAGCATGGCCAGTCTAGAAGCACATTGTAGGATGGCTACTGTAGATATATTTTAAGTCATGACACAGGAGTTTAAGCTAGGGAAGCTGAAGTTGAAGTAATTAATCTTGGAATTTCTAAAAGTGCATTGCTTCAAACAGGATCATGTTGAGGAGGACGTTAACTGCTGTGACCTTTTCCTCTTGTTTTGTCAAAAGCTGTTTGGAAGAATCGCATCAAGAGGACATTGATGAAGGAGGAAGAGGGGTAGGAGTGGGGAAGGGGTGTCATTCTTTGGCCTATAGAAAAAGGGAAGGTTGAGGTTGCCCTGCCATGCTTGAGAGTCACCTCTTGTTGTTCCCTCAATCCAGGCACTCATTCAGACTCAGCCATCTCATTGTTACTGAGAGTGTCCCTCCGTGGGGCAGGGCCATTCGTTACCGATTGCACGCCTGTCATCACCAGCTCTGTCCTGATCGGATTCTGTTACGTTCCCCTCACACGAGAGGCAGATGGTGATCAAAAAACTGCAGCGTTGCCTTGAGTGTGTTCTGCCAGCAGTAGGGGATGGGAACTGCTTTGTGCTGTGTTGCTGTAACCCGTAACAAATAGTTAATACAGAAACTACACAAAAAAGGTGGGGAGGAGCCAGGATATGGCAAGGATCTGCACATCCAAACTTTTTACTCCTAAAACTTCAGCCCTTAAGCTGCCACCCTATTTGTGCCTGCCGTGGCTCCAAAGCTGCTGGATAACAAATAACCCTAATTCTCTAATCCTGTGAGCTCCTGGTGGTCTTTGTTGGGGTAGACAGTGGGAGCTTACCCTGGGAACATGCACAGGGTCCCCTATAGCAGCTCCACTCAGTGCTGTCATTGCCACCACTGGCTCAAAAATAAGGGGACCCTTTTTGGTAGGGGTTTTATCTGAAGTGCCTCCACAAAGGCACTTCGATCAAAGTGATTAAATAAAAGCCTAGTTGCCAGATTAGAAAAAGAGAATGAAGCAGGTGGTAAATGGTGACTTTATTTCAACTAATTAATGGATAGAAAAGTTGATTCTTTAATATGATTCACCACTTTCACTTTGTGGCTATTGGCAACCTTTAAGCTCTAGTTATAAACTTTATTGAGTCCTGTCATTCCAGATCACCTGCTCACTCTGTTTTTTATTTTTCACAAAGCCAGAGAAAGTGACACATCTGAGCGAGCAGGGCATAGCAAGCACGATAGGAGCCTGCAACCGGGAGAAGCTGAGGCTTTTCTAAACCCAGGAGCAGATACGGCATGGCAAATAGTCCTAACTTTCCTGTGTGGCATTTACATAAACTTTATGTGACTATTTTATGTGCTGCTTAAAAAGAAAATGGGATAATTACCATGACACAGTAATGTGTAGTGTACGTGCCGCCTGTGAAATGCTGTTATCCATTAAACCCACATCACCTGCACGTAATTGGAATTGTAGTGCCACTCTCTATCTTTATTTAAGCTGAACATCAGTACTGGAGCAGTTTTAATAGTACATATTTCCCCTCCCCTCAACAATCCAGTTGTCCTAGTTACGAGTGTTTCAAACGCTTCATTTTGTTGTGCCTTGAGATGCAGAGTGAGCGCTGTTGCCCCTCCTGCTGCACCAAGCGCCCAGTGGCTGCTGTGTGAGCTCTGCTGAGCAGGACCATGAGCCTCAGCAGTGTTCCCTCACGATCCTGCTGCTCTGCCATGCCCTGGACGTGTTCCCAGAGCCGCAGCATGCTGGAGGAGCAGCGTGGGGCTCCCAGGTAGGGTGGCCAGGCTTCCCTGCCAGCAGGACTCTGGCTTCACTGCCCGCCTGCCCTTCAGCACCAGCTGTGGAGAGTCTTAAGCATTTATAAACCCTGCCAAGGTCTCTGCTTAATTGGTTCCTGTAGCTGTGGATGCTCAAGCCCCTCTTAAAAGGCTGACAAAGGAAATGGTGCCAGGAGCTCAGTAAACTCTGATGGGTAGGGGCCGAAGAATTGTTTTATGTGCAAACAAACACTAGCTGTGGAAGGGAAAAAACATCAAGCTTCCTGAGGCATCTCAAGGTGCCAGCTGAGGATATTGAATTTGTATCTTGCCTGGTGCCAAAAGTTTTAGGGATAAATACTACTAAAATTCAGTTAATAACCCTTGTAAAAATGAGTGCTTCTGTCTGCTGGTACATTGGCCCAGCAGCGGCCGAGCATCCCCAGCCTCGCTGAGCTCAGGCAAGACAAATGTGGAAAGAATCCAGAGTCCAGTCTGTCTTAAATCCAGTGAATAAAAACCTGAGAAGTCCTTGAATGCTAATCCTTAATGATGTAATTTTTGCTTTCTGTTGTAAGCTCCTGTGCGTTAATGCCAGGCAGGAATTTCAGTGTGCAGAACAACCTGTGCCGACAGGGTTTGGCAGCACCATGGGGCTTCAGAGTCACTTGCCTGGGCTTCTCCTGTCAAGGAACTGTCCCAGCCAGCTAAGGCAGCTAGTGTCCAACAACAGGATTTCTTAAAAAATGGGCCCAACTTGACCTTCCTAATCTGTTTAAAATGAGTAACAATTCTGTGGTAACAACAATGTCATAAATGCAACTTTCTGGCTGACTTTGTGCCTCTGGTAGGGTTTTTGCTTTGCACTTCATGACGGTCTCATAAGAATCCCTAATGCTTTCATATATAAATATTCCTTAAAACAAAGGGCCCTTTAATAATGAGGAAAAACTGTATTTATGGCTGCAAGTGGCATTTAAGAGCAGAGTGACAACTAAAATACTTGGCTTGGTTGCAAAATCTAAACAACATTGAGGACATTAGGAGTTCAGTTTAAAATGAAGAAAGATACCATGATTTCTTATTTTGAAGTGCTGATGTTTCCCATATGTTCTTTAGTGAATATGAGCTTGAAATCAACTTTACTTTGACACTGGAAATTTGCCCAAGAACAGTTTAGCAACAATCAGCAATATCCATGGCGTTTCACAGATCTTGATGAAGGACAGAAATTTATAAAAAAAAAAAAGAAAATAAAAGAAAAACACTATTTCAAATGGTCTGTCTTGGAGTTTAATAACAGTGTGTTGTGGGATAATGTCAAAGGAATGCAGAGGAAACCTGAGACCTGATTGCTGCAGTCAAGTTAAGTGCATTGCTGAAAACACATAGTTGATCTTCAGCTGTGCCAGTGCCCAGCGGAGCTGCTGCAAGCTCCTCCAGTTGACGTCTGGTGCAGCACTTGGGGTACAAAGGCCTGAAGGCTGCCTTTAACAAAAACCTGTCCTACTTGCTGCTTAAGCCTGGAAGTAGCTAAATCATACACAACTTTATGTTTTAATTATAAATTTTGCAGGGCCCCTGCAGGTCCTTTTCTGTGCGTGTGCACAGGGGCTGGCTTGAGGCTGGGTAACCTCACCCCAAATTTGTTCTTGATGAGGATCCAGCCTGGAAGTTCTTCCTCTGAGTTAGCCATGGGGGTCTCTTTGCTGAGCACTGCTAGCATGCATCCCCAAACACAGAGGGGCTTGTGGCACTGGGGAACGAGCACAGGGAGCTTTGCTGCGAGGCAGCCAGCAGCCTGGTGTATGGTGGCAGGTGTCTGTTCAGCCTCTAGGCTCTTGGGGAAGATCACTCCAGGGCACCCCAGTCCCTCTGGGCAGGGATCTCTGTGGCAGTCAGTGTCCAGACCTACCCTCTGAGGGAGGATCTGGGGGATCCATATCTGCCAGCCCTGTTTGGGCAGCTGCCGGGGAAGCTGCAGGCAGCCTGGGGAAAACACCACAGCACTGCCCAATTAAGCTCCCAATCCTGCTTTGCTCATTTGTTGGGAAGGGAGTCCTGAGGCAGTGAAGGGAGGAGCTCTCCTTGCTAAGGCTTTCCAATTGAAATAGCACTGGAGTCAAAGAGGCTGGCTTCTCCCTGGCTGAGCTGAGGGAAAAGCAGTACCAGGTAAGAGGCACAGAGCCTCGTTCCTCCCAAAGCTGGCTACCTGATCTTCTTCAGCCATGCACCCTTACTGGAAAGCAGCTACTGTCTGTGCAGGCCTCAGGTGGGAAGAGCCCTCCAGTTCCTCTTGCATGCCATTAGAGAAGTGAACCAAGCAGCTCTCGGGCTTCACAGTACATATGTAGCTTTCAAACCTTTGTTTTCTTGAACACCAGATGTTCTCCATGTTTCTTCTCCTTTCTATACAATCTTTTAATGACCTAAAAGAGCAACCCACTGTGAACTTCAGGGGAGAGCATGGCCAGTGGTTACTGGTGGTTCCAAATGTGCTGCCTCTTACTGACAGGGTGCTGTGCTTTATAATGTTAATTTTTTCTTATGATCCTGAACAATACATTGGCTTCTACATAAAACCTAGTGACCAGCAGCTTTTAAGATGACATATATTATGGGGAATTTGTGGTCACTGAGGAATTAATGTGCTGTGTGTTGGTATTTGTGCCTCTCTTGGTCATTGGTTTAAGTAATTTCAAGAACGTACTCTAATTTGGGGGTAAGGCAACAATGTCAAGCATGCCTGTGCAACCACGCGAAGTTTCAGTGCTTCAATGTGTACCCAGAATGTGAAATAAGATTATTGCTGAGGTAGAAAATAGTTGAAGATCCATCTGCAGAAATACACCCTATTAAGTCTCTTACCAAGGAACTGAAGAAGAGAAATAAAAGCGTCCCTATAGGTGCCTTGCAGACCATGTTCTCCTCATTCTCCTCCCTGCTTATTTAGAGCAGTTTTTCCAGGCAAAGATGAAAGTGGGAGAACCAAGCCCAGACTGGTCAGCTGCCGTGTGCTGGGCCCTCTGACTCAGAGCCTCAGCAGCTAGAGGAGTAATTAAATTCTCCCAGTGCTCTCTTATATTCATGTGAATCTTTTTTGTTGTATCTTTAAAACCAAGTAGGATGGGAAATAAATACAGTGCAGCCCTGAAAAAACACAGCTGTAGTCTTAGCAAATCAGCCTGACTTCAGCAGGGTTTTAGTTCAGTTTAGTTTAGGCATAAGCCCTCTCCCACCTCTGATTATTTTAAACATTAAGCATCGATATATGTAACAGAAATATGTCAGTATGATGGACATCTCTTTTATTTGGTCCTTAAGGCCATGTTCATTAACTGCAGCTGTACAAATGGTCCTGTGGCACACAGAGTCTATCACGGGACACATCCCGGATGTGCTCCAAGAGGCGGAAGCGTTCACGGCGCACACTCCCTCTCTGGCCGTGCTGCCACCTCCGCTGTGACAGCGCTCTTGACGCTGCCCTTACCCCAGAGGCATTTACTAACAAAATGTAGAGCATCCTCGGTATTTTATTCATGTGTTTTGCATTCCTCCATGTCCAGTTAGAGGTGTGAATCCCCATCCTTCCCTCGAAGGCTCTTTCATCTGGGGTCAGCACTGGGTGGCTGTCGGCATACAAGCAAGCTTGCCAAAGCCAGCAGTGTCTGGGCGTGCACAGGAATGGGTGATGCTGTCAGCAGCTCTGCACCAGGCAGGCAGGGTCTGCCACTGCTGGGGCTCTGCAGGGGGAAGCACCAGAGCCTGCAGGAGGGTTGGTGCTACAGCACACAGAAGTAACAACCACTGTAAAAGAAGAAAAGCTGGGCCAGCTCCTCAGACCACTGGCCAGGCTGCCGGTAGTTGCATGTGCTGCAATTGGAGGTGCAAAGTTTGATGTATTCCACTGGGTGAGAATTCCTGGGCTGACAAGGTGAGCAGTGCTCCAAGGAGACCCTTACTGCAGCTGCTGGGGAGATGAAGGGCTGTGTCCCTCCCCATAGCAGTGTTTGCCTGTCTGCTCTCTCAGAAGAGGGGGAAAACAGCCTAAAATTCTGCCTCTTCAGCGGCTCACAGCTGTCCACACTCACTCCCAGAAGGTTCCACAGACCAGTGTTGTCCTTGTCAAAGACATAACCCAGGAAGTGTTACTGTGCAAAAGTGATCCCCAAAATCAGTGAGATATGCCTTTGTTTGAAGAGGTGAGATGCTTTCAGGATCTTGTTGAGTTATGATCAGCCATTCATCAGATCAATTACATTTTATACTTAGGTGGAGGTGGCAGACTAATGAAAAACCTGGTTTTGTGAATATCACTGTAATGTTGGTGACCTGAATGGTGAGAGTTGCTCCAAAGTTTTGATTATTTCACAACTAGGGGGAAATGTCTGTTCTTAGGTTTGTGTTACAAGGAATACACATAGTCAACAGAATATAGTTATGTTGTACCTGAGAGTTTTTTTGTGCTGCTAGAACTGCACAAACTGGAGTTTGTTTTCAGATTGTTCTGACATGGCCAAGTACTGAAGTTCCACAGAGTCATTCACTGCACTGAGAAAATGCAACAAACCTCTCATGGATTAAATTCAAATTCCATTTTTCTTTTTTTCCCCACAGATCCTTAGAATTTGCACAAGATACACACCAGAACAAGACACCATGACCTTTTCCGATGGCCTTACCCTAAACCGAACTCAGATGCACAACGCCGGATTTGGCCCTCTGACTGATCTCGTGTTCACATTTGCCAACCAGCTCCTGCCTTTGGAAATGGATGATACAGAAACAGGTCTCCTTAGTGCCATCTGCCTAATCTGTGGAGGTATTGTACAGTGTGAACTCTGATGCATTTCAAAAGGACAGACATGATAATGACTTCATTTATGTTCTATTTGGTTTGCTTTCCTTTACTTACATATATTTTATATATATATGTATTTGTAACATGATTTATATGTATTACATATGCTACTTAATGCTAAAAGTTTGTTGTCCACTGGTGATAGTTACTGGGTTTATTACTGATAATTTGAAAAAAATTATTGGAATCATTCTGTCAAGCAACCAGTCCTATTGTTTGCCTGACAAAGGGCATTGAGATACCTCACAGAACAGCTGGAGTTGGAAAGGATCTCTGGAGATCAGGTCCTGCTGTGTTTTTGCTAAGCAGTGTATGGGTACCTGCATGAATGAGCTTTTTTACAGCAAGATGCCCAATTACACAGCTTTTACTCATAAATATAATTGTGTGCATCTGCATTGATTTCAGTCAAATGGAAGCCATTGGTGATAACTTACTTTAGCAAAAAAATGTGTTACACTTCCAAACTGGCGCTGAAAAGAACTCAAAAGGGTGGTTGTCAATTCGAATCATAGGCTTAAAATACAAAAAGTGAAGTCTCAGATAATTTCCAAAATCATCTGTAAATTTCTGTTAGTTTAATCACTTGGTCTCTCTCCTCCTTGGCAAAGTCTGGATTAGCAATAGAAACACACCTTTTTTAGCTGGGCCATTTTGTTGAAACACAAACTGGGTTCTACTAGTGAGTGTTTGAAACACAAGAGTCAATCTTTGTTGGCAGTGGCCCTTTAGTACAAAATCATTCCAATTTTATGTCTCTCTAACCCTAACCCATTAAAAACATTGATGGGCTCCTGGATGTCATTGATACATGACTGGTGTGTCCTGGTGCAGAGGGGTGGCATTTGTTGTCACTCAAGCCAGCACTGCCATCTGCTGATTCCTGGTGGTAACTCACTTTACTTTGTAGTTTTAACAAAAATAGCTGTCACCCCTATGAGTACCTGAGTAGCCAATCAGTGACACATATAAAATTAATTCCAAAATATTGTTTTCAGCAAGGTGTTTCCCCCTTGAAGAGGGAGGTACAAGAGCAAACTGGTAATTCTTGACCACCCACATGACAAACCTTTCCAGTCACCAAGGAAAAAAAAAATAATCCAAGTTTCAGAAAGCTGTGGTTTATCCTATGGAACATTCACTACAGAGTTTGTGTTATTTAACAGAGAGCGAAATTCATGGAGTTCTATCAAAAACATGGAGGAGATTCTGTGATTTGGAGTTTATTTTAAAAAATAAATATTTAAAATAAGTGCTATGATACTTTCCTACAGATCGCCAGGACCTTGAAGAACCAATGAAAGTGGATAAGCTTCAGGAACCCTTGCTTGAAGCACTGAAAATCTATATCCGAAAGAGACGACCCAACAAGCCTCATATGTTCCCAAAGATCTTAATGAAAATCACGGATCTTCGTAGCATCAGTGCAAAAGGTACAGTTTCTCTGAATAACAGCAGGAGTGGCAGTGTTGCATTTCAGAGGAACTGGCCTAGACCCCTGGGTTGTTATTTTTTAACATAACTAAGAAAGGTCCCTGTGACCTTATTCTTCCTAGCTTCTTTACATAATTCCTGCCTTGAAATTGGTTATGTTTTAAACATGCATGGTGCTCCATGCAACTGACATTGAAAAAGATGTTGTAGGTGCAAGTGGCTTAGCAAATCATTTGCATGAAGTCCTTCTTAGTAATTTTAGGACAAGATAAAACCTTAGTTAATGTTTACAAGTGGGTTCAGATCAACATGTGCTCTGTATCACCAATGGCTTTTAAGAAACAGTCTGGTTACAGCCTGCAGAAAACACTTTGGCAAAAAAAAAAAAAAAAAAAAAAACCCCAAAAAGTGGTGTTTGAAGTATAGAAA